AGCAGAGCAAAAGTAATCAAATTGTAACGGCACAAAACACTTTCGCATTTTCGGAGGAAACACAAAACAAAAAAGCAACGAAATTTGTTTGTAATTTTAAAATGATAACGAGTGATAAAGCAAAACGATACGTACATATTTACATAAATGCTTTATGAGTCAGTGGAAATCTCGCTGGCGAGGAACTTTTTCACAGACAATCAGACGTTCAGCGCTGATTTATTAGACTGGATTAAAATTGTGTGCACAATTTCAGCAGCGAATTAGTTGAGAAAGTGTTATTGCATATGCACATATGTATGTATGTATATTTGTATGTAGAAGGCTTGTTGACAGTGCTGATCGGTCAGCGCACGAAATAAACTTGATTTGCTTAGCTTTTGTTTGTATGATTGTTTGTTTGCTTATTCGGACGCTGACACTGGGTGGCACTTATCAACATTTGTTCACATTTAAAATGCTTATCAATTAATAAATACACCGAGTGCCTACCATACATGATAAATTTGTTATTTAAATTCTGTGGAAATGCAAGTGTGCTGCTATTAAATTTCATGTATTTGTTTCAATAAAAACTGGAACTTTTATTAATGCAAGAATAGAAAAGATAACATTTTTCGAGATATATGCGCAAATATTATTTTTGAAATGCTGCAATATGAAATAAAAGAATTTAATAAAAGTCAATAAACTATATATAAATCAACATGCGTTCAAATACAGAATAGCCAATAGCAATAAAATCGAGTTCAACAAAAAAAAATTAAATAAATAATAAAAAAAAGGTTAACTTCGGCTATACCGGATGAAAGGGTATAAAAATAATAATTATCCTTTTGTTTCAGGGTTACATCGCCGGAATAACAGTCCTTGGTAGGATCAAATCTGGGTCAATCCCGCTAAGGTAGAACCGGCTGTTGTGGGAAATATAATTATCCCGATTTAGATCGATCAGTTTGAATGACAGTTATTTGCTATAGTTGTCCGATCTGAACAAACTCGGAGACTGTAGCGCTGCCTTGGGCAATAATTTATGCCGGATTTCGTGAAAATATTTTGACAAGTAATAAAAAAGTTTTCAATGCAAGAACTTGATTTTAAACGTGCAGTTTGTTTGGCAGCTATATCTTATAGTGGACCGATATCAACTTGCAAAATTTCATGTCGATATCTTAAAATCAGAAGAACGATACAGACAGACATGGCTAAATCGACTCAGGTAGTCACGCTGATCATTTATATACGTATGTATCTACTTTATAGGTTCCCCGACGTTTCGTTCTGGGTGTTGCAAGCTGCGTGACCAACTTAGTACACCCTGTGCAGGGTTTAAGATACTAGGAGCCACGGCCAATTCTCACGACAATCGGGTCTACGTAAATGGACCGACTTGGATTTTCATTTGTCGAAAGACTGTTAACTTGGCAGCATTAATCAAACTTATTTGAGCACCCACAACAACAAAAACTATGACAGTTAAAAACTTATGCTAGAAATTATAAAGCTTTAAGTTTTGAAAATAATAACAAGATTAATAAGAAATTTCCCGTTTACTATTTCCAACTCGCTGGGGTTTGTGGTTCATAGTTATTTATGAAGTTATGTTTATAACTAGTAGATTTGACTACTGGGTATATCTGTATGACTTTATTAATTAGCAATAGTGCACGGGTTAATAATTTTTGTTTTTACCATTTAAGCTTTGCTATTAGCATTTAGATATAAGCAAATTGTTCATTAAAGCTTAATATTCATTAAGCAATAATATGGATCGATTTGCTTAGTTATAGAATACGTTGTGGTCTTGCGAAACTCTCAAAATAAATATACATACATATGTATGTACATGTGTAAGTATGTTTGTAGAAATATTTGAAATTAAGTAGTTTATGTATTTATATATTATATTTTACATACATATATTCTTGAATATGTTTAATTGTAACATGTAAAAAAATTACAAAAAATTAATCTTGTGTAATGGAATTGCATGACCACTGATTGAGATTCAGGCGAGAAAAAAACACTAATTGTAAAAAAAAAATTTAAGCAGCACTGCTTTGTTCTGTCTTATGACTGCCAGTCAGTGTCAGATTTTTAAATACAAACTTAATATTTTTTTCTAAATGTTTTTAAAAAATAATAGTTTTGTTATTTAGAGATGCATGCCACGAATACCAGAGTGAATCTCTACAAATTGCATAAATGCACGTAAATAAATACATACATATGTACAATATGTGCATATATACGATATATACATATACGAAGGTGACTACTTTTTCATTCATATCCTCTGCATTCGTACATGAATAATTTAGTCTTGCTGTTAAAGTGATTTATTTTTAGTTGTTCAACTTGCAAAACGCATATTTTAGTTGAATGAATATTGCACTTCCTGTAAATTTATGCAGCTACATGCATGGAAGTGAATATGAACACATCTACATATTTATGCAAGTACATACAAATGTCTGTATAGCATATAAAGAGCTTGTTTCTCAGCTAGATGCCACCCACTTCGCCGATAGGCTGAAATAGCGCAGTAAATATTTTTAACTGCACATTTTAACGTGACTTTAAACACTTGTTCAAACTTGCATGTTTACATGTGCCGTGCAAGTCAAATACAAGTTGAAGTTATGGCTTTTGGAATTTTTAAACAGAGTACAGACATTACACGAAAAATCTTTGTGGGAAATTAAGTTGTAAAGGAAATAAAATAAGACGTAATTACTTAATGATATGTACAACATATCTTTTGATATACAATATGTAGCTATAATACCCTTCACAGGTACATTTCTTATAACATAAAAGGGTATAATTAGATCTTTATCTTGATTCTGATCTATAAGCTTTTATGGCAGCTATATGCTATAGTGTTCCGAACTCAATAAACCGGAGACTGTTCGGTTCCCTTGGACTGAAATATATGCAAAATTTTGTTAAGATGTCTTTTTAAATAAAAAAAGTGCAACATTTTATGACGAATTCTTATAAAAAATAATAAAAAAGTTTTGCATACAAGAACTCGATTTTGATCGGTCAGTCTATTTGAAAGCTATATACTTTAGTGATATGATGTCGGCGGTTTCGACAAATGAGCAGCTTCTTGGAGGAAAATGGATGTGTCTAAAATTTCAGATCGATATCTCAAACTTAATATACCCTGTTTAGAGTATGATTACAATTTAATAACTGTTGAAAAGTAGTTTTTACAATAGAAAGTGCTAATTTTTCGGAATATATACAATAGTTGCGTAATTTATTATTATCAAATAAAACTACCGTATTGTATAGGAACAAACCTCAATATTATATAGTCATACAAAACAGCTGACACATGAAGTAAACCGCAAATTAACTAAATCAATAGACTAACTTACGGCATAAAGATTAATTATATGGTATTGTATGTATTATTTGAATGTGTGCATCCAATAGTTCGGTTACTAACAAGAATAAATTTTTTGACATGTCCAAACAATCGATTTGCTTGAATTCATATAGGCAGTTGAATTGTAGCTTCAAATAAAATAAAAAAGTATATATATACATATTTACATAGTATATAGCAAATGAGCGAATACGCGCGCCAAATGCCGCTAATGCCTTGGACATATGGGGTTTGTTCTCGTTGAACGGCGGTGGTACATTGTGCTTAACTGAAGGCACATGACAGCACAATAGAAGCAAGTGTTTGGACACAACGACTATTATGGATGTGCCAATGTATTGAAAATAAATGTACATACTAATGTATGTTTTAACATAAATATGTATTTAGCTGCTCGTCAATAGGAAAAGAAAGAGTATTTGTTTAAGCCAACTAAATAAGACACTCGAAGCTAAATGTAGTGAATGCAAACGTAATGAAAAATATATGTACGTCAAAGTAGCGGTAAGTGAATCCTCATTAAAGCCGGAAATTATTGCCGGTTGCAAATATGGTTGTGTTAATGAAGTTACAACGTGTGGCAGGTTAAACGTACAGCAAGTGTGCTGTCCAAGTAGGAGCATATGAACTTTCCAAAATGTTAGATTTTTTTTAGAAAAAGTTGGTGTGTTTTCATTTATTCACTTTGAAAATAAACGGCTGTATAGACGAGGTAATAAATTTGAAATGAGAGTTACCTTCGGCGTTTAATCAAAAGTATAAATTGATAGAAATTATTTTGTTTATATGGCGAGTTTCTTTTTATGGCAAGCATAAAGTTACCTCCTTCAGAATGCTAATGACAAAACGTGTTTATATAGGGTGAACCATTTCAAGGTTCCCTACTTTATTAAAGAAAGAAAATGTCGCCGAGATCACGAGCAAACAAGAAAAAGCGTGGCTAACTCAATATACTCAACTACATTTCACAAGCCTTCATACTAAATAAATGCGTACCAATATACAAAAAAATTTGTCTTGTAGAAAACTTACTATAAAAAAAATGTATATTAATATTCAGTTAATAAAAAGTTTAATCAACAAAAGGGATATATAATATTTACGTATGTACATATGTATGAATATGGGCAAATATATGTATGTTTATAAGACCTATACGGACTGAAACCGCAGAAATAAATAAAATTGTATAAATAATAAAAATGTTAGTTTCATGCATTGAACAAACGCAAATATAATATAAGCATATTGTCGTGGAAGTTACATTTCAACATTCGTGACTTTGCATGCTTAACAACTCCCCCTCCCTGCTATTTCATGCAGAATTTAGTTTTAGGACTATTTATTTGCTTGTCTATGATGGTAACATTTCTTGATTGAAGGTTCGTTTCGTCCGTTCTGCGACGCTCAAGGATAGAAGGCGTTTAATGTGGGTTATCAATAAAATGTTTGCGTTGTGCATGTGTTTCTATAAGTTCTCAATCCAAAAAAAAAATAAAAAAATATATATATATATTTAAAGTAGTTCGTAAATTAATGACAAGTAGTAGCTGCACCTATCCACTTCAAAGTCCTTAGATATAAACTTTTATTTACTTACCTCGTACGCTTCCTAAAAGGGTATCCTGAAAAGTTGTGACAATGAACCAGTAGTTGTATAGTTGACCCCAGTGTTCTTCGCCAACAGTTAGGTTGCTATTATTACACCAAACAATACTATGGAAATTGTATGCAATTATTGTCAGTCTTTTCTTGTTTAATTTATTTAAATTTCTTCACAAAAACTTCACTTAAAAAACTTTCAGTCGTCACAACGTTTTCGTGCCTTTGTTCACTTTTATCGGTTTTCGCGTTACGTTCATAAATATACATTTGCTTTATTTAGTTAGCAATCACAAATGCACGTCATTAGAACTTGAAATTTAATTTACTATCTTTAATTTTGTTAGTTTATTTTTATGCACAACATCGCCCGACGCAATTCCCAAACAACCAATCGCCTAAAGAAATAGAATTGAATTGAAAAGAAAATAATCAAAACCACATTAGGGTTTAATTGTCAACAAAATCCTACAGAGTTGTACAGAGTGCACTAACTTGTATTCAAAATTTATTTATTTCTACAAAAAAAGTATAATTAAAAAATTATTTTTATACATCAGTAAAGTGCATTTATTTATAAATATATGTATATATATTTATATTTGTGGATTTTGATTTCATGTTGCAAATGTATTCAGAAAAATTCTATGCATATGACAGCATTATCAATGTTTCTTATCAGATTTCAATTGAGGTACGCTTTTATTGACATTCGTCCCGTGGAGCTGTCATTAATGTTGACAATTTATTAGCGAAAGAGAGTCAAGGCAGGCGCAAAGATATTAGAAAGAGTATAGCAATCTGAAGAGAACAACTGTGCAAAAAGGACAATTAGTGAAAATTTGTTTAAATATTTTTAATTGCTTTTTATTTTGGTGTGAAAATAAATGTAGATGAAAGAAAATTCATTCAGAAACCAGTCCAAAACGAAATAAGCATAAAAAATCTTAGTATTTTCTACGGCATACACTTGTTACCATTAATAGAAGGGCACAACGATTTTTTCCAACGTCAATATATTCAATTGGGCCAAAAAAATTGCATCAGCATTGCTTTGTCAAAGTAACATTACCATTGATTGGGATTAGTGGTAACAGACATGTTAACACATAAAGGTTGTCAAGGTGGACGTAAGAAAATGCAGGTAGGTTATAAAGTGATTTCTCAATGCACTGAAGTGGTTTGCCAAGTAATTGCAAATGCAGTACACTACCGGCACATAAAAGTGCATGTAAAGGAATGTAATAAGTAATGTCAAGCATAGTTTAAATTAATTTCATATGTAGGTGTCCTTTGTAATACGAGATGCAGAGGAAAAACAACACAGAAACGGTGTTAATGCCCTACAACTCGATCCCAACAATGGCAAACTATATTCCGCTGGGCGTGATGCTATTATTCGAGTATGGAACACAAGAACAGAATCTTCAGAGAAATATATACAATCAATGGAACACCATAACGATTGGGTTAATGATATAGTGCTCTGTTGTAATGGCAGAAATTGTGAGTATATATCTGATTTTTGGTTTGTTATACCCTGAACAGGTATATCAAGTTCGCCGTGAGGTTTGAAATACCCAGAAGGAAACGTCGGAGAGCATTTAAAATGTTTATATAAATGATCAGCATGACGAGTTGAATTGATTTAACTATGTCCCTCTGTCTGTCCCTCCGTCTGTTTATATAATATATACGCGAATCTGTTTTTGAGATATCGATCTAAAATTTTGCGCATGTCCTTTTTTTTTCCAAGAAGCTGCTCATTGATCGGAACCACCGATATCAGACCACTATAGCATAAAGCTTCCATACAAACTGAAAGATCAAAACCATGTTTTATATGGCAGTTTTTTATTTGACAAGATATCTAAATGAAATTTGGTGTGGTTGTCTAAAGCAACGGTAAAATTCCAGCACTATAGCATATAGCTGGCATACAAACTGATCTGTCTAAATCAAGTTCTTGTATGACAACTTTTGTATTTGTGAAGGGTATTAAAGCGTCAGTGCAACCGAAGATTACATTTTTTCTTGGTTATTATTAAATTATGTTTTGAAATTTTACAGTAATAAGCGCCAGCTGTGATACTACCGTCAAAGTGTGGAATGCCCATAAAGGCTTCTGCATGTCAACGTTACGCACACATCGAGATTATGTGCAGGCATTGGCCTATGCCAGAGATCGCGAACAAGTGGCAAGTGCAGGGCTGGACAAAGCGATTTTCCTTTGGGACGTTAACACCCTAACCGCACTGACTGCCAGCAACAATACCGTTACAAGTAAATCAAACTATTATTCCACTAACCAATGCAACTGTATTCACATAAATCATTATATATTACCACCACAGCCTCTAGTCTCACCGGTTCTAAAGACTCTATATACAGTCTGGCCATGAATCCTTCGGGTACAGTTATTGTTAGCGGTTCAACGGAAAATATATTACGTATTTGGGATCCACGTACCTGTACACGGAGCATGAAACTACGAGGTCACACTGAAAATGTACGTGCGTTAGTAGTTTCGCCTGATGGCAGTCAAGTCGTCTCTGGCAGTTCAGATGGAACAATTAAAGTTTGGAATTTGGGTCAACAGCGGTGTATACAAACGATACATGTACACAAGGAAGGTGTTTGGGCGCTATTGATGAGTGAAAACTTTCAGTATGTGATTTCCGGCAGTCGAGATAAGAACATTATCGTAACTGAGTTAAGGAACCCAAGTAATTCGGTATTAGTTTGTGAAGAGCGTGCGCCAGTGCTTAGTCTTGGGTATAACATTGATAAAACAGGTGTTTGGGCCACTACGTGGAATTCGGATATACGCTGTTGGAAATTACCGTTATATGACAAATGTACTTTAACGTCAAGTGGAGGAATGGACGCACAGTGGGCGATAGCGTCAAATACAGAACTGACATGCATCAAAGGTTGGAGTTGGTGGTCAATATAAAATATTAAATAAAAAATGTATCCATATATTAAACTAGGTGGTGCGGCCGTTAAGAAATGCGTCGTTTTAAACGATAAACGTTATATAGTAACCAAGGATACCGAGGAGAATGTTGCCATCTATGATGTGCTGCGTGTCATGAAAAAGGAAGATTTGGGCAAAGTGGATTTTGATGAGGAGTTGAAGAAACGTAATAAACAAGTTTACATTCCAAATTGGTTTACGGTGGATTTAAAGACTGGAGTAAGTACACACGAAGTTTGAAAGCTTATTATAATTCAATTTAAAACTACTTCTTTTAGATGCCAACAATTGTATTAGGACAGGATGAAGTTGACTGCTTTGCTGCGTGGGTGTCTATAGAGGCAGGACTTCCAGAATGTGCGGAACCAACATCAGAAACTAAGGTGTTTTAACATGTCATTGTAACATTAATAAAATGTGTAACGGTTTGTTGTTATTTAAAGATAAATTATGGAAAACTATTACTGGAAGCATTATTAGAAAGCTGGACACCACCACATAGCTTACCGCAAAGTGAATTAGAGCCAGATAGCCATGGAAATGGTTACTTTCAAGTGCCCAAGCACACACCGGTTATTTTTAGGTAAATATTTAAGAAATATTTTGCATTTCCAATAACTGTACATAGCTGTTTTACAGTGAGGTAGGTGGGCGTACAGTTTGTCGACTTTTGGTGCGCGATGCTGCTGGAGAGAGTGAAAGTACGCTATTGCACGAAACCGTACCACAGTGGGTCACAGATGTAGTGATCGAGAAGACTATACCGAAGTTCTTGAAAATACCCTTCTTCCTGCAGCCGCACCCACAAATGATAAAACCTGAACGTACCAAAAAGGTGAATTTGTTTTTATTTTATATTATTTTCTTAAGTAACTCATACGAATGCTTATTATATTTGGCTTCTACTGCAGGATCGCTTAGTTGCCAATGAGTTTATACAATGTCGCAAAGTGTGCGAGCATGTTTTAGAAAAAGTACTGGGTGCAGAGACAACACCTAGCGGTGGTAACGCTTCAAATTCCTCGCAGAATAGTCAAAGTGATGCGAATTCCGAGGGCTCACAAGTACCTGCAGAGGACCGCATCGAATTATGGTGTAACGATGTTGTGAGTATAAATAAGATTTTTTTATTTTTATTTTGAAAATTTATTTATTTTTTATTCTAAATAGGTGGTAGATCCTAACATGGATTTGCGTACAGTACGTCACTTTATTTGGAAACAGTCGACCGATTTGACTTTCCAATATAAGACAAAGCCAAATTTTAGCTATGATGGTAAACTGTGAATAGCCTCGACTAAAATTACCAACAACGCCAACACCAAAACCAACAACTTATATGCTTAGAGTAAAGACGAACCCTCCTACATTCGCCACCATTTAGCTTCGTTGTGCCCAAAAAACCACTGAACATTTTTTAATGTAGCAACGAAAGATGTGAAAAATGTAGAGCATATTGGCTTTGAACTAAAATGAAAATTAGTGCAATTTATTTTTGCAGAACATTCAAACACGAAATACGTATGTATGTATTTACTCTCTGAGTCTAGATGGGCGCTAGTGCTTATGTTTGTCGAAGTTATGTTGATGCATCCACATATATGTATGTGTGTCGTCAGTTTAACCAATTGTTTGACGATTTTTGATATTTGTTTTTTTTTTGTTTTGCAAAAAACAAAAAACACGATACCAATACAAAACGTGCATTCAAAAAAAAAAAATAAACATATACATACATTTTAACTTTTAAATACATATGTGCGCATAATAAAATGATAAACAGGTTTATCTAATACCTATCCCTATTCACATTTGGATGCATTTTTTGATTGCATTGTGAATTTCATTTGTTTTCATTTTATTCTTGCTTTTTTGTTTTCTTTTTGCTTATATTATATCTGCTTAATTTATCTTCAATCCTAAAATAAATATGCATTTAAAGAAATTCGGTGTATGAGTAGGAAATTCCCATTCACAATAATTGCAAATTCATTAAAAATTACCAACTTTTAAACGCGAAACCAATTTCATACAACGTAAATGCGCTCAACTAAAAAACTATTTGTAATTAAATTAAAACACTATACCCTATTTATTTACACGATACTGCGAAAGTGAGACTCGCAAATGAATGAACTTGCGCGGTTCATTTTCAGTTTGCGGTTGCACGGAATGAACTGTAGTAAATTTAATTGTTATGAACGAATTCTGCGTTGTTAAAAGTAAAAAAACTTATAAAAGTGCATTGTCAAACAATGGCAGTGTTCAGATTTTCTACTCCTACGTGTTAGAAAAAAAACATATTTTGTCAAAATCTGTTATGTATTCATATCTGTGGTCTAAATATTCTTTAAAACGAGCTTACAGTTCGATTTGAAAATTGTTTACATATATTTTACGGATTCTAGCGACATTTAAGATATAAGTCTTGGATATATTGAATAATATGTATTAATGCATAAAATGTATGTGGCGCGTATTATCTACAAGTTATTTACTTTACTATAAGTTTAAAGATATTCTATACGAAATTATATAAATAAAAGAAAGTGAAGATAAATTACGAAATCAAAAATTCTGCTATAACAGCAGCGACTATTATAAAATTAATTTACTATACTGAAAACAATATATATAATACATTTAAAGTATACAGAATATCAAATTTCACACAAGGAATATAAGTAACTGCATTCAAGCCAATAAACTGACAAATTTGTATATACGATTACATTTGTTTTTATTTTATACAATATGACCTTGCAATTCATACTTATGTATATATATGGTAGTTACGAATTGAAAATTACAAAGATATATACATATATGTATCAAGTGAAGAAAATGAGCATGAAAATATTTGTGTCACGAGTTTTTCGAACTGTAATTAATATAAAATCTTAAAAGCGAATTTATTAAATGAAAATATTACAAAAAAAAAATACCTTAATGCTTTTAGCAACTTTAAAGTACACATCCATATATTTATATATATAATATATACCATTAGAGATAAGAAATTTATTATTCTACTTAATCTAAAATCTATATTGGTTTCTTGGTATATTATATTTTACAACTATGTTATTCATCCACACCTCATTGATTGGTTCGGTCCCAAGTGGTCGTCTTAAACGTCTTTTTAGTTCTCTTTTTAAAATATGTGGTATAGACATACGCTCTTCAATGATCTTGACCGCCGCTATTGGATGCAAAGGATTCAATGTATTTACAATTCGGCAAAGGCAACTTTCGCGTAATGTACGTAGGGGATATTGTATTCTAATCTCTTTACGACACGGCACCATACGTGCAGGATTATTTGGATCGCGCATTTTGTATGGATTTGGCCAATATCTAGGTAGATTAGTCACCTATAATCAAATTAAGTTGGTGCTTTCAAAGATTTTGAACAAATTCCACAAATTTGGGTTTACTTACACACATTAATTCATTACTATCCCTATCACAAAATATCCAAGGATGATGCGTGTAAGTATTGGTTTTAACCTGCTGTCCTGGCGCTAATGAGGTATGATATTTAGTCTCATCGTTGTCGAACCAATACAAATTGATATGGCGATTTGTTTTGTTGCAGAAGAGCACATAAGAGTGCCGATATGGAGGTTCAGGAAATTCCACATCTCTTCGCCATGGGACTTCTTCATCAGGTGGCTCAAAAGGAGGCAATGCCATAGCAGTTAACTATATAGCGCAATTCCTGTCGAAAATTTGAAAATATTAAATTTCTAATGATGACTTCCGAACGGTTATCTATGCCGTTGCCACTATTTATTTGACAAAAACTTTGTTGTTTAGGAACGTAAAAAGTCGCGTACAATTTTTTGTATTATTAATCTTTGTGTTTTGATTTATCATATGTTGATAAATTTTGACATTCCATTTGCAAACAGCTGATTTATTTGCTACTTGCCGGAAAATTATTGTATCATTTTGGGCTTACGACTACTTGCAAACAAAACACATATATATGAATCTGCTTCTTTTCTGATTAAACAATTAAAATAAATTTTCATATTTTCCAATTTTTATATTTTATCAGTTTAAACATAATTTGAAACAACAACATTATCAGTTTGAGATAATAAGGAGTATGTGCTTATCTGGCAGCACGGCATTTATACTGTCATCAAGTTCCGTGAAGTAATTGCGTTAAAACAAGAATGATAAATTTAGTTTGTTAAATTTACTATGGCTGTGTGCATTTCAATAATTGGGAAAGATGTAAGTTTTTTTATATAAATGCATATGTGATAAAAAACTAGCTATTTGTTAATGCATAAATAAAAATCTCTGCGGACATTTATGCTTTGTAAAATGTACCAGAGTAGCAGGTTTTTTTATTTGCTCCTGTAGTAAACAAAAGTGTATGATTGACGAGTCTCGAAAAATTGCCAGCTGTAATAATATTTAGGTTTTTTGTACTTAACCATAAAAGATGTGGAAACCAATTTGAACAAGTAAGGAAGAGCCAAGTTCAGGTATAACCGAACATTTTATACTCTTGCAACTTGTGAGATTCAAATACTTTCAGGTGCAGGCAAGACTTTATATGAAAAAATGTTTCGGAAGATTTAGCATTCATTGTTCGAATAAACCGTGAATAAATTACAATCAAATTTGGAATCTTCTTGACTTATATTGATGATCATAAACTTAGACTTAACTTTATTGCTATATTTTAGTTCGCGTCTGCTAATATTATATTAAAAATGTCTTCAAATGAGATACATGTGTGTGCTATTAATTCGACCGAAGAGGCTAAATTTAATATATTGTTTTGATGTGGAAAACGTCAACTAGAGGTTCGGAATTCATTATATTAGATATGAGACTTAGACCACGGTGTACAACGATTCTTTTCTAATTCAGCGCCAACTACATAATTTTTAAGAAAACTTGTCCATTTAATTTCATTAAAATATCACATTTAGACCAACCTGAACGGTTTAAGGTTAGGTGGAAAGACGGAAATCATTATATTGGGTATGTTGGGGGCAGAGAAAGGGACGGGCTGATTGCATTAATTTGGATATTACACAGGTATACTTTAGAACATATTTTTAAGCAATTTTTTTAATATATAAATTGCACACTGAAGGAAATATTCGCCCATATTTTAGAAAAACGAAAATCATTATATGTAGTATATGCCAATACCACGATCTATTAACATGCCACGTAATAATAAGAAGCTCCCTGGGTATCATTAAGGTATCTCACATATCATCATCAACCTATATCTAGTAAAATTAGCCGGATGTTCGAAAATTCTGATATTAGTTATATAGGGGCTAGGTCAAGTTTTCACCCAATTTGATCGATTTTAGGCACAAAGATACACTGTTAATAGAAAAACACGCTATCTCATATTGAGATAACTCACATATTGACCGATATATGGGGTATAAAGTCACCCGGAAGTTCGAAAATCTTTACATTATTATTATATGGGGGCTAAAGAAAGTATTGACCCAATTTAACCTATTTGTGACATTCAGACTATATCAGGGTAGTATATTTATACTATTATCAGGAAAGGATTCTCTCCGAATTTCAATTATGTATCTTACACATTGACCGATATTTTCTGCAAAAAGTCAACTATGGGCACTGGGTTCACATATTCGGTACCCAGGGGCTTGAACAGTTTTAATTCGATTTGGCCATATTTTTCGGTCATAAGGTGGCACAATTCAAAGTCAATATTCCTGCAATGTTTTATCCCGTCATATTAATTAGTGTTTTATTTGTATACTAGAATGTGGAAGAATCAGATCGAGTTTAAAATTGTGTCATATAGGAAGTAGGCGTGGTTGTGGTCCGATTTCCTCCATTTTCGCACTATAAAATAAGAATATTAGAAGAATGTTATGTACACAATTTGGCACGCCCATCGTTCAGTTTTGACATCGGCTCCTATAAAGTCCCTTTGTGGCATCCTGGGTGTAAAATTTAGTTTCCCTGTCGAATTTAGTTATAGATTTATCACACTCTTAGTAGTTTTTAACCAAACCGTTATATGGGGAGTGGGCGGGGCTATCGTCCGATTTTACCTACAATATTTTCACACTATCGTAAGGATCCTGTGAAAAGTTGGATGATATAGCTTAATTGGTTTGGAAGATATATACATTAAACTTATTAGGGGGCGGGACTATGCACACTTTCTAAAGATTTTGAAACCATAGGTGCCCGTCCTTGATGTGACTCGTTGTGCCAAAATTAAGTTCTTTATCTTAATTTACGGCTTAGTTATGGCCTTTTATACGTTTTTGATTAATGGCGTTTTCTTCGCGTGGCAGAAGATTACGCCCATTTACGAACTTTTATATACTTTTTTCCAAGAATATGTGTACCAAGATTCTTCAAGATATCTTAATTTTTACTCAAGTTACAGCTTGCACGGACAGACAGTCACCCAGATTTCAACTCGTCTCGCCATCCTGATCATTATAAATATATATATATATAACCCTATATTAGTTATCTGGATGAATCCAAAGCTGATATTCTACGTTTCCCAATAAGATTTAGAAATTTCGGAGCATATTCTCTTTAGTTTTAAGTTATAAAAGTGTAATTGTAAAACAAATTGACCATGTAAACACAAATATGCGAGCCTTGAGATTTCTCGAGTGCCAGTTTGTACTTATATTTTAATGAAAATACCTTTACTTTTAGAATGCCCCTTTATACTTAACTACAGCTGACATGGATAAGGAACTGGAACTTCAGTATCGGGTTCATGCAGCACTCGACGTCGTTGAGGAAAAATGTCAGCCTATTAGTAAAGCTACACCAGAATCCAAGGAACTTTACTTGGGTATGCTCTACTCGACTGAGACACATAAGATGTGCGTGTTTTTTTTTAAATATGTTTAAATAAGTATTTAATTCTTTCTTTTCTTTCCTTATTCAGTTATGGCTTTGTGACTAACACAAAAATTAAGTTTGTCATAGTTGTGGACTCAGGAAATATAGCACTGCGAGAGAATGAAGTGAGAGCGGTGAGTGTTTAAACAAATAACAGTTGAAAAATAAATTAAATTTTTACTCATAATATTTAATACAATACTTTGCTCCAACAGATGTTTCGAAATTTACATATGCTTTATACGGATGCTGTCTGTAATCCCTTTTATGCGCCGGGCGAACCCCTAGCTTCTAAGTAAGTTCTTAAAATATGTAAAATTTATGATTGTTATTTTTTTACAAACTTCCTTTTCTAGAAAATTCGATCGTGCAGTACAAAAAATCATGGGCGGCATTGCTTAAAGGTGATTTGATATTAATTTTCTTAATTAAATCTTTATTATTAATATCGTCAATGTGTAAACCAATAAAAATATTGTAACACTTTATTTAAAATATATAACGTTCATAAGAACTCGGCCATTCCATAACATATGAATAAGGTGGGAATGTTGCAAGGAACTTCTTTGTTTCTGCATCACGTTCGTACTCAAAGCTAACATAATGTCCGGAAATGCCTAACTGCATTAGCTCTTCGTCAAATTCACTATTCTCCTTCTGCATTATGAAACATGTTATTAATCTTTGTATATTTATTAATTAATTTAATAAAAATAAAATTTTCTTACCTTCAAATCAATGTAAAATTGGAGTGGTGTACTAATTTTGCCATATGAGAAGTAAACGTGGAAAGGTGGCTCGCGTAGCAGCATTTCGGGCAAGAAGGACCAATCACTCACAGTCACCTTTTCAAGTGGTTGTACAAAAATGCTCATATGTGGAGGTCCTTCAAGTTCGAATTCTAAACGTACACTCTCTGTAGTGGTATTGACATTTTTACTAAGAAGTGACAGTCGGGGAACTTCAGGCAATTGAAGGGGGACTTCACGTTGTAGCCAAGCGGCTTGTCGACGCGATCTCGCGGTGCGATGGTTGAATATGGGCATGCCACACATCATATATTTATCACAATCGTCGCTAATGTTATACAGATCTTCCAGATCAACATATGCTGAGTTAGAGTATTAAGAAATATTTAGAAATTAATATAGAATAAAAAATATTTAAAAATACAATTATATATTGAATATATATTAAAAATACAAAAGATTCCATACAAGAATTGGATTTATAACGGTCAGTTTGTATGGCGGTATAGTGTTCCGATTTGAGCAATTTCTGCGCAGATAATAGACTGGCCTTAGTCAATAATCTACATAGGTCAAATTTCGGCAGTTCCAACAAATGAGCAGCTTTCTGTAGAGGAGAGGACGTGTGCAATATTTCAGCTCGATATCCCACAAACTAATGGACTAGTTAGTGTATATACAGACAAACCGACATAGTTAAACCTACTCTTCACGTCATATTGATCCAATACACATAATATATAGTTTATTACTTACGTGCTAGAGCAAGTTGTTTCCGTCTGTCCTGGAAATCAAAAAGATAACCCGACTCATTGCGACTAACCGTGCCATCGAATTCATAGAATACACGTCGCACTTCCTGTATTAAAATGAAAATAAAATAATTATTAATATATATATATGTATGTATATAAGTTAATCATATCCACGTGGGTGTTAAGTGGTTATACACATGTGTGTATGTGTACTAACTTGTAAATTGACTCGCTGCACATTAGTTTCTGGTCGATAGGGAAATCCGATCTGCGTCATTGCAAGCAATGCGATGACTAGCGTAACCGCCGGCAGAATAAGGAACACTAACTTTGGACGATTGAAAATATTGAGTAGTGGAATCTGAAAAACAGTAAACTTAATAAGAATATACAATATAGAGCAAACATTTTTATAGAAACTTACCAAATAGCCCATAGACAGCATGGTACCCATAGTAGTAACGAGTGCAATATATAAATCTGGATTACTTGCGCTACCGAATCGACCCATTATTGGCATCATAGAGCACAATAGTGCATGAAACAGATAGGTGAAGTAAAGGAAGGGTATAATTTGGCATAGCATGACGAAGATTGACCAGTAATAGGCTGTGTGGAAGATATATACTTGTAGTACGTGGAAAATGTGTAATTTCTGCTCAGAAATTGTTAATCAAACGAATTACCTCGTCTGTGTAGTGTTGTCACCATGTTAATCACCAAGGATATGGCGTGGAAAAGTAGTGGAATCATTAAGAAATACGAACTGCGTATGCCCATATAAGTTAAAAGAATGCAAAGTATAGACAAGATCAATGTGTGTGCATGATTGACTATTTGCAGACGATACGGTTTTGATACTTTATCCTTTTGAAAGGTATGAAAGAAGAAAATGTATTATGGAATTAAAGAAAAATTGTTTCACTCACATTACGACTTATGTTTAAGTATAGCAGTGTAGGCGCACTCAAGCCCAAGAGCGTAGGACAGATGTATAGACCAAAAATAAGCCATTTGGTGGTAAAATATGTTAACGAACGATCGCCACTATCGAATATCGTTGCCATAAGTAGCGGCAATGCGAAAGCCAAAATCCAACCAATCAAATGTATTACGAATATAAGTAAGAATAAACGCAAAGTATAGCCGATGGAAACGAAAGAATCAGCTGCCATCAGGTATATAGAGATGCCTATGAGCAGTACAGCGCCCACAGCGACGTAGGTATTGAGAGTTCTCCCAGTCGCTTCGGTATACTGCACGACGAAATAACCGAACAAGTCGTAGAAAACTGTGCGACCATTGGCGTGGCGCTGAGTGTGTTAACGAAAAAAAAAAATAATAATTTACATACATAACTTTTGGTTGACTTTTTTATTTCTTTTTACTTACAGATGGATCTTTTAACTCTGTGCTATTGGTGAAAGTACGCGCCATGGCCAATATGTTATCGCCTGTTGTCTGCAGTGTTCCAAGTGGTATAATGCTGACGCTATCAAATTTCGTATGATACACATAACCGTTATATGAGTGCGCTAAGTCGAGTCCTATTTGAAGTCGAATAAAAAATTCCATAAGTTACTTTACTTACTTTTATAATATTTATATCAACGTCTTTTAATTCGCTTTGGAGGTACTTACCTGGCAATTTACCAAAATCGCGGAAGATTCTAAAATCCGTGTCCGAAGGTATAATACCTGCTTGGAATATTTCTTCAGCGAATGTTGATGCGTATGAGCGCTTAACACTTTTACGGTAGATCTATGGATAAGTAAATTAATTAGAATATGTGCTTAAGCGATTTAAAATTATTGAAATTTCTTCAAAAAGCGAGCTTATTAATTCATCTGATTAATTCTGATGTAAAATCAATTTTACATTAACTATCATACTAGATTTTAGTTAGCTTTCAGCTGATCACATCAGCATCATTGAAACACTTACGTAAAGCATTGCTTTGGAAAGCTTCTATATGGTATTTAAGTCTTTAAAAGCTCAGGCTTCTTTAGTAAACTTTCAGCTGAATACACCTGTAAAGCTTAACCTTCGAAAGCTTTTTATATGGTATCACAATCTTTAAAAGCTCTTAAGTAGCTATCATTATAGTATGAATACCTCCGAAGTTCAGTCTTAGTAAGACTCAATTTCATATTGACTATCTTCTTCGTTTTTTCTTTGGCACTACAACCGTGGGTCGGTCTTGACCGAGTGTAATTTTTGTTCGTCGAGAAGGATATCTGCTTCTCAATTATCTACCGTTTCCAAAGTAACACTTGTTGGCAAGAGTTTTTCAGCGCGTATTCTCTAGGCTTAGATTGTTGGTGGTATTTATGCTGGTTCCAAAACATGTAAAGCCTCTCACCTTTTCAAGGTTTTATAGGTGCTATCGGCGATGTAGTACCCAACACGTGAGAAATCTTTGTGTGTGGATTTCAGGTAATATGTCTTACCTTCGTTCAACACAAGATCAACCTCTTTCGCTTCTTTTTCTAAGCTTTCATTTAATTACGGCTGTAAAGCTCAACCATTTGTATGATACTTAAATATTTAAAAGCTTTTGAAATGCTTAAATATTATATTAATTCAAAAGTTAAGTTTTAGAAAGCTTTCACCTGATTAAGCTCTTTTCTGGAAATATGTAATGTATGAAAGAAAGTCATATATATCTACATACACGCCAACAGCTGGTCTCATTATCTGATGAAAATCTGGTAACCGTTATACTTGTTTATTACACGCGCATTACATTAAGTATTTGTATCAAAAAATCACACGGGCAATTAAGCTGGTGGACATCTAACGGTACTAATGGTTATACGAATTAAATATGTAGGTATGAATGTGTGTAAATAAGCATGTGCTTATCTAATCATAACAAGTATTTCATCAGCTTTTATCGAAAATTGTAGGTGGAACATATTTCTTTATCGTTTGCGAAGACCATAAAATGCTCAATTAATTTATGAAGTGTGCCGTTAAAAATGCAAAATCGCTTTGGTGCTCTTGGAAATCTGTAATGTGCACTTGAATGTCCAAACAATGCTAATCAATTACCGCGTTGATTTAAGATAAAAGCAGTGTTTACCTCACGCAAACTCGCCGACTCATATAACAGCATGTGCTTACTCATATCTACATATATGTACATATGTAAACATATGTATTTTGGCTGAACTATTTGTGTTGAGATAAGATTTTAAACGGTTTATGCATAAAGGTAAGTACACGTGCCTCAGTCTTATCGGCGCAGACAGATAGTTGGATATACATAATTTGAAGATATCAGCATTTTATACTACTTAAAACGTCAAATAAAATCACAAAATCGCATATCGATCTATTGCCGAGTATCGATTGGAAAACATATACTTATCGAAAGGAAGAAACTTTGAGATTTGAGTTATATGTTCAAGGTTAGAGCTAGATATGTTTATAGATTTTTTTGGGTTTTCTGCTTTATAGCGCAGCACAAATCGTAATCAACGTAATAGTTTCTGTAATGACTTACGCCTATTAACCATGGGTTATTTGGTCCGGATTGAAAGAGAAGTTCACGATTGCCGCTACCCGCTGAATCCAAATTAATAACAGCCCTGTGAAATTTTGAGAATTAAGTCGTAATCTTACGCGTTTCTGCAATATTATACTTACTTGCAATTATTGGCCCACTTATGTTGCGTTATAAAACCGTGTGAAGCCTGTAGAGGATTCTCTTCAGCACCATTAAATAGAAATATGATGGGATGCTTAAAGGGTGTACGCGTAGTGGCGAGTACGCGTAATGTCTCGAGCATTATGACAACCATAGCGCCATCATCACCGCTGCCTGCCAGGTTATTGATGAAATTAGAAAAGGTTTTTAGTTTTTATAATCTACAAACCATTCCTCACCCTTTATTGTACTCTGTTATATATGTACAATACATACCTGGACTGCCGGGTTTCGAATCGAAATGACTATTAATCAGTAGATATGATTCGCTTGTGCTTGCTTTCGTCCTGAAACGTACAACAACATTTTGTACACCCTGATACATATTCACCATAGTCCAATGTAAATATGCACCCGAAACGACTTGCACATCTATTTCCATTTCGAAAAGATCAGTGTGCATAACACCTCTTATATCTACCAATTGATCCAGTAGAAACTGTACTGTATGGTTTTCATTTGCATGACTTCCCACCACTTTCGGTCCAATTCTATCGAAATTAATAAGTGCACGTTCAGCACGTTCCGCTATAAATCTGTCAGGATTGGAATTTTCATTTTGAATGGTAAGTCCAGTGGGTAGTGAAAAGAAAACTGGTATAACAATAGTAAATATGAGCACAAGCCAGAAGATCAGAAAGGCTGGCGCCAAGTACCATGGCACCTTCGAGGTTTGTTTTTTGTGGTAAGTCATTTCCTCCGTGGCTACCTTCTCTTCATCGGGTGCGATCTAGTGAAAAGAAACCGGTATATATTTTATAGAAATTTGTTTGCATATATTAAAGGCTTAATCTAAAAAAAAAAATTGGATATCGATTGTCCAAAATAAATATTAGGTAAATTAGTGCTTAGCAATCTTCAGCTGTTCCTCTCATAATATTTAAAGCCTTAACTATCGATATACATATATCACTCTAGGACCTGCAAGAAACAATTCGTTACTTTTTTGCAAAGTCAGATAGCATTACTTCAAATCAGAAAACCTTAAAAACGTGGATTTAATAAAAGTTTTATAAAAGTACTACTCTCCGCCGACCAGTGAAGTATTTTATGCAGTAAAATTGGATTCGGAATTAAATGTGGATTGTGTCCGTTATTTTTTCCAAGTAGTTGTTGGGTAAAAATGTCTCGATTTGATAATGCCGCCGAGGGACAGTTGTGGAAGACTTTTTTATGTTCAGTTTGCCAACTTTCCGATCAATTTACGAATTTCGCAGCCGTTTGCAAGTATCTAGATAGTTAAATTCGATAGTTTAATTAGCTGTTACGGAGGGACATTGCTCTGCCGTGATTCTATTGACAAATTTTTCGTGTCGTAAGCAAACAGCTGCCAAAAACACACTAATTGACATATGTTGATCAAAGTCCAGACCAACATAAAAAACATTCTACGAATCTCGAAAAAAGAACTTTATCGATTTGGCATTTCCGAGTAAAATCACTACCCCAAAAATCGATTGCACAAGAAATACAAGCCCTGTATTTTGAAGGGTTGTAGTCATGGTCAATGACAGATGTCAAGAGCGCTGATAATTTTTTTTCTTTGCAGTGTGGTACTTGTCGTGTACTACTAAGCCGGAATTCTTGTTAGTCCGGACTATAACAACGAACGAAACATATTCATTATTTCGGTCTGGTCCTTTGAGTGCTCCTTGTCTCACCTTAGAAGTATTGAGTGTTTACGATTCTTTACTAAGTATTGAACTGAACTACCCTCTCCTTTTTAACGATCTCAGTTATTTTAAATCACTTTAAGCAATCAGAAAACAAAAAAAAAAAAAATAATTATCCTTTTAAGCTTTTTTACTCACTTTCTTCACTTCTTCCTCTGACATTTTTCGATTCACTTTCCCTAATAACGGTTTGCTCCTAATGGTTAGAGCGTATTTTTTGATCTGTTAGTACAGACCGAAATCAGACTGATATTTAAACAAATCTTCGAAGGCAAGTGATTTTGTTTTGCAAAAGGAAAAAAAAATCAAAAAAGGTAATTCGGAGGTTTAGATATAAACAGAGATAAGCAAATTCAGTATATATTAATATATAAGTAGTATTTTTATTGTTTGACAGCTAAATTGCTGGGTACTGTTGCACAGCATATAGTATGAGTATCGATTCAATTAGAGCTGATAACTAAATTCACTTGGTGTCATTTATTTAGTATTAACGATTCGGTGAGTATGACAGTAGGGTTCTTGAAAATTTATTTTCAATACCAATTCGTTACTATTTCTATAGCAAATTTTTGGTTTTATTATCAAACAATAGTTCTCTGTCATGCTAATTCTTATTCAAACAAGAACATACTTTGACTTTGAGAGCATAAAATATTTATTTTTCGCCTTGTTTTAGCGACTATAAGATAAACGTGTTTCGTAAAGAATGAAACTTAAACTCTATATCGAGAAATGTCGAAGCTTTCAACTTTTAGCATTAAGATTTAAGCTTTTTTTACTTGGAGCTTTTACTTTAATATCTTAAATTTTGTTACTATGGAAAATAGCATACATAACTGCATTTCTAGCTACGATCGATTGCTTCTTAAGTCGACTTTATCTATAATTTCTTCTGTCCTTAATAATGTCTAACAATTTCGTAACAAATTTTTATTTCTCATAACATTTTATTGTAAGTAAGTAAGTAAAATTCAATACAATATTTTTAGGAAAATAAAGATTTATTGCATTTATTTAGACCTATCTTTTTGCCTTTTCCATCATTCAACTTGCATTTCGCACATTTATCGTTTGGTCTATAAATGTTTATATCTGATTTATGACCATATCCGATAAACAGTAAATATATCAACAATCTAAATCAAAAGGCAATATCATATACAAGTATTATATTTTTCATATTTTCTAGTAATCAAATCTTGATATCCTTTACGATGCTTGTTATTCTGATAATGTATATATGTGAAGATATACAGAGTCAGTTTGTACTTAGCATCATTTGTATTTCAAATCAATTTGTCCAGGGTCTTCCTTAATTTTATGGTACTTTTGTAGAGAATGATATCATATGTGTATTCGTTGTTGTTGTTTTTTATAACTTTTTATTATATATAAATTCTTCTGTATCAATGAGGTAAATAATTTATCAAATTGTTTTATAAAGTTGTGAAGCAACACAACATTTTGTACTTGTTACTAGGTAGTAATAAAGCAATGAAAGTGTAAAACGGCTTGTTATATTTTTATTACAGTTATTTATAAAACTAGTGAATAATTCTGTTCAAAGTCTAAGTGTTTAAATTAAAGTATGCTCCACGCCGTCGGATTGGATCGGAGTTCACGCCTTAGAACCGTGCTATATGCGAAAAAGCTTTTCGTGACTATATTCTGGCAAAAAAACTTCCATCCAGTTAAAATACTATAGAAGGTTTTAAAAAGTTTGTTACTTTTCTTTTCCCTAATTTAGACATAGTTGAGATTGATTACAATAATATCTTCATTTATGAAAATTTAAGTCAATGCATTCATGGATTATAATCGTAATTGGTATTGCTTTGAACTGGACTGATAGTCGAATAGTAGGGTTTTCATCGATATTCGAACCACTTTCTAAGTCTCTTGATGGTCAAAGATATTTAAAAATATGACTACAAATTAAGAACAAAGATGAGGTGGTTTTAAAACTTTAAGGGGTTAAGGCAGTGTGGGATTTAAAAAATATCGAACTGTTTTTCGGCTTATAGTTTCGGACGATTGGCCCAGTGGCCGCCAGTTTTCATCAAAATGTGAATCTAAAATCGTTTTATGTATTTAAATACAATCTTTATATGAACTCGTTCTAAACGGCTGGATCGATTTTGATGAAATTTTTTGTGTGTATTTAAGGGGGTTTGAAAATGATTTAGATTCACAATTCGATCAAATACATAATGTTTTAACTATGAATTTATTTATTTGTAAATTGTTGTTGATGTTAGAATATTTTACATAGAATTCCGGCAGATTGTTAGTAGTGAATATACAAAACGAAGAAATGAATAAATTAATAATAAATTTGTTTAGCCCTGTAAACTTTTACTTTTAGAAGTTGCCTACTTTGGTTGTTGTGTATTTTTCGTAGCATTTTATTCCTACAAAAAATGCCACAACTTCACGGAAAAGCAAGAAATATTGGTCGACGTTTTCATAATGCGCATTGTCGGGGCCGCTAGTAATACTATAAAATCTGAAGAAAAGAAATTTAAAACCTATTTCTTTACTGTCAGAATAAATGATCAAAGTGAAGCTTTTTTGTGGGCTCTAGCCTGGCATAATCTCTTAATGAAATTTTCACCATGCCGAGAAACTACAATTTGTTATTTCTAGTTATTTATACTCCTTGTGTAGCGTATACACATTCATTTATACATGATCAATGTCTTGAATATCTTATTAGTGCACTTTCCCGTTATAAAATTTTCCCAGCTGCATTTGAGATATTTCTGATTGATCTTTTCTCAAGAACTGCTTAATGATTTTAGGTTAAAATGACAGAAGCGGACATTTTTTCAACAAAAATCTAGCGATGTGTTATTGCTTGACAAAGGACAAACTGCAACACTTAAAGTCTAATATCTAATATCGATCCAATTAAGTAGTTATCAAATTTTTTATAATATTGTAAATAATAATAAAGAATTCAGGAAAAAGAGATAAAATAAATAAAATATCCAAATACTTCATGATTCGACGTTGCGTATGAGTAATTTTTTGTTACTTTTAATAAATATCGTATATATTTTTTTAGCACAATAACTGTATATTAACGGAAGTGTTGCCTTTTACACCTAAACATAATTCTTACAAAGTACCAACAACATTTTACATCTTTATTTTCTAAAGTTTTGCCTATACAAGCCTTTCTGTCCACTATATGTATGTAAGTAACACAACATAGCGTATGAGTGACTTGAACGAATAGACAACTATCACTTCCAGTTCAGGGAAAATGAAGTAAGCCATAGCTAACGACTATGCTGTGAGCTAATCATAACTCTAAGACAATTTTTCAACTTTCTAACTCATTTCAAGATTTTTGTGTGATATTTTGTTAGAGAGGCTAATTTCGATTACTAATTTTAGGTACTGTCTCGTAAAATGGGTTGCATTAAAAAAAATTAAAAAAAAAATATTAAAAATAAAATGCGCCGGTTGTTTCGACATAGTCTCTTGAGGCGATTTATGATGCTATTGTTGACAAGTCGACTAAAATATATTATTTGTGTCAAAGTGTTTAAGTCTTTTTTTATAACCAGATATAAATACTATATACCAGTGTTCCTCAAAGTTCTCTTGTAATTAAGCCAAACCTTTTAATGATTTTTACACTATATACCTATCATAATATATAATAATATATATAATCAAATTTTTTATATGACAATGTATCTTTGAACTTCGGCATGGTTCAAGTTTATGCTGCAATCGCTAAAAAAAATTGTTCAGATCGGACTATTATAGCATATGGCTGTTATTAAAACTGATCAAGATAAAGGCTTTTGCGTTTTAGATTTAGTAACACGTATAGTTGCTATAGGAAATGCACCTGTGAAGGGTTTTTTTTTTGATTTTTGCTTATATTTTTATGTTTTATTTAGTTTTTTTTCACTGCGAATTCACACTATTTGCCAAACACCTAATTGACGCTCTAACTGTTTATCGCCACAAACCATTATTTATCTCAAAACTCACCAGACATCAAAAAAAGAAATTTTATATAGACCAATAAATGCATCAATATCGCAAAGATTATATAATTTTACATTCGTAGCCGCCTGTTTACCTTGTGCTTGAAAAAATGCCAAAACTATAAACAGTTCGCATGAACGAAAAAATCACGTAGACCGTCACAACTCAACTGATGCTGCCACCAATGTCGCAGTGTTTGGAGAGTTATTATTTTGTACCAACAAATAAAAAAAACTCAGCTTTTAACACACATAAAAATGAAAATGCGCACAGAGATCATGCGAAGAGGAAGAGCTGAGCGCCCCCTGTAGTACTATGCACTGCGTTTTGTTGTTGTTGTTTTTGCCACGCTGTTAAAGTTGCGGGTAATCTGTTGTGAAAATAATAAAATCAAATCTCGGTAAATTTGTTTTCTTTTCCCTCCAACAACAACAATTCTTGGCTGCCATTTGTTTAATCTGCATAATTTTAAGTTCAAGCTCTCTGTACACATATCCCCGTGAGCGCGTGAGTCACGCATGTATGTATATACATTTGTGTGTTTGCTAACATCGGTTGCTCAAGAGCACACATGCTGGTCTTTAATAATGCTGTAGTCTTATCTATTATGCTAAGTGCGTCGTCAGACAGCCACTCTACCTACCTACCTATCTATTATGTTTCCAAAAATAAAATATTTAAATAAGAATATTTTTTTCATTTTATTTGACTCTGTTTGACTTCAAAAACTAAAGGCATCGGAACTATCTCTTGAGCTGTCGGCCACTGACTGAGTAGAAAATTACACAAGTGTTTGAGCAATAAATATTAACTAACTGTCCAATGCTTGTATGTATGCAGCGGGAGTGTAAGCAGTAAGCCCTTAAATGCCCTAAGCCAAATATATACATACATACTATATATAATATTTGGCATCTATAACGTTATATAAATTTAAATATTTGTAAGTAATATGTATCTATATATCGTATGTTGTATATATATTGACCATTTGATTGAAAGTGATTTAATTTTAGTCACTGCCCAGCGCAATTTTACGCCTCAGGGCACTCGTCATTAGCGCAGCGACAAACATACAAATAATTAGTTAATACGTAAATATTGTACGGGCGGGTTCAACAAAAGTTCGCTCAAAGACAATTATACAAGAAGTTTTTAGAAATTAGATTACAAACCTGTTATTTGCAGCAATTAAATGAACGGCGCGTTCGATAAAAGACTAGTTATGTTACTGAAGCGGTTTTTTAGACATATAATTTTCAAGAAGAAATAAAACTCATATACGAATATTCTTCTAAGGCGTCAATCGACTTGGACTTATTTGCGTAGTCAAGCGACTTCACATAACCCTAAAAAAATAGTCCAACGCTGTTAAATCGCACGATTTTGTAGGCCACGAAACAGGCCCAGGACACATCAAAAGTTTCTTTCAATAAATTGCTTGTTTCGTTGGTTGTATGGAACGAAAGGTTGTCCACATCAACATCCTACAATTCCATCGACCCTAACATTATGGTCGATTTTATTTTAGAAGAAATATGGACTATTCCTTCCCTCTCCCCATAGAGAACACCAAACAGTGCCGTGTTGAGGATGTAAGGGCGTCTCAACAATGGCTTGCGGATTATCATCACTCTAAATTTGATATTATTTTTTATTAACGTACCCATTCAACCAATAGTGAGGTTTATCGCTGAACAACGCTTTCACGAGTTGGATTTTGTTAGCTCAAAAACCAAGATCGTTCCACAAAATCTTGCATAAAGTGGATGGGCACAGCTCCAATTGTTTCGCGTAATGGCGGATGAACCCATTCGGGTCTTTTTTGATTTTCTACTCCACACTGTACGGCAACTCTGAGGATGCGCATTATCCACCAGAGTAAACGTGATTGCTCGAATTATCAACACTGCTGGGCAATTATGTCGAACGAATATTAGATGCAGCGCGGGATGCATCGCGCAAAACCGAACCTTTATTTTGGTAAGAAATTTCCACTGTTTGAAACATTATTTTTCGAAGTAAGTTCATTCATTATGAAATGGCTAACTAAATTGAGTATAAATCAAGTAACAGCTGTCAAAAAGACCCACTCCGAAAAAAGTATTTCAAACAACCGCTATTTCAAATGTGTTATTCACAAGAATTTCTATTTTAGGTTACGTATGACCTTTTTCAATTTATTCTCAATCAAACTATATACATATACATATGTATACTAGAGTGATTAATGGCTAATTTAATCTTGCGCCCCAATGTAGGCAACGTTTTATGTTTATTTTTTGCTTTAGCTAAAATACATGAAGAAATGGGTTGGGCAGAAATAACTCGTCACTTTCTCCTCGACTGTTCTGCTTAAGCTAGATCGAGGTTGAAATATCTTGGCTGTCATACCGGGAGAATTTTGCTGGAATATTAGAGAGAAATAAGTATTTTTGCGAATTTTTAAAATCAAAAGTTTTGGAATAATGTATACAAATTTAATCCCGATGTTGAGATTAAATTTCCATTTTTTGATCCAAAATGTTTGGGATTAAAAATTGAAAATGTTATTTTTTAATTTGAATGAATGCGAAAAAATGTTATTTGTTAAACAAATTGTTTTTATATATTTATTATATAAGCTTGAAATTAAAATTTTTATTTTTTATTTTTCAACTCGGTAGTTGGGATTAAAAATTATAATTTTTTTGGATTACAATTTTGTTTGTTAATCCGCTACGCGGTATTAAAATTTAATTTCCGTCATTTTCGTCGCCTGGATCAGTCACAAAACCTAAACTAAAAAACCTCTTTTTATAAAACAACTTTTTTATGGTACATGCATTAATTTCACAAAATATAGTTTTAGCGGGATACGAAAACTAACCGAAGAATAGATTTGAGTTGAATTCTGAGCCTTCTTGTAAATAACTCTTCATATGGTTCTTAAAATTCTATGTCAAATATCTTTAATGAACAAACGCCGTTTTTATCTGCTCTTTTGCATGCTTATTTTATTTGTTTTCTAATATTACCGGTTTCCATACTTTGTACCTGAATTTAATATAGAGCAGAGTTTCCGGTAAATATAATATGCGTTTGGTACAGTGTGAGATACCACTATATAGGTACAATAAAAAAATGTTGTCTTTGGTTCGACAAGAATCCAGACTTAGCTCGCTTTAGAGGTAAAGTCATAAGAAGTCCTCGTTCCCATTAGCAAAAGACTGGGAAAGTAAATTTTTACTAGATTCCTTTTAAGGAAAATTTGGCACGGGCAAAATCATTCGCCATAGACAGGAACAGGTAGTAATCACTTGATGCCGGCTCAGACTATTAGTTGAAGTTTCTGGTGAGTCACTAGCGCGGTGTTTTGTGCCGATGGAACATAATTGCACTCCTATTGGCCAAAGTTGGCCGCTTTTAGCCGAATGCTTTCTTCAGAGGGTTCAATTGTACTGTTAGTTTGGCTGAAGGCGAGCAACTCATGCTAGATTCCCTGTCAAATCATTTCATGGTTAACTATTATAAATAGACATTAAAATAGCCAACTTTCATAGCTGGCAATCAAGCTTAAGCTCGTTATATAATCCGGAAAACTTTTTAAGAATTCTTCATAAATTTTAGCGCGTTTAATTTTTTGGTGTATCCAATAACCAGCAATGCCAATTTCTAAATTTCCAAAGGTTCCACTATTGGTGGTGTGATAAAATTGGAAAAGTATAAAATCACATGTGGCACAGGGCTATAGTAGTTGATAAGCCAGGTGCTGTTGGCAGCAGAACGAAATAGTAGTTCACAGTTTTCAGTTTGAAAAATATAATGTCATATAAGAATGTATGCATATAATTTTTGTTCAACTGAGCCATACTTGCATTTCTTTGCCCATTTGTGTTGTCTAACAAAACCGTGCGATGCAAAGAGTCCATCTTCCTCAGCGTCATTGAATAAAAACACTATTGGATGTTCAAGTGGTCCATAGGATGTGGCCAGTACACGTAGTAATTCCAACATGACGGATACCATTGCGCCGTCATCACTCGCGTCAGGACTCGTCGGTGCACTGTCAAAGTGTGCATTTATGAGTAAATAGAAAATAGTGTGTGGAAATTATGAAAATAAAGTGTTATATTTTATTTTTCGACAATGATTTAATTAGTAATATAAGTTTAATTGTGAGATCGATATGTGCTGTGAAAATAATAATATGCTATTACCCTAGCAGAGCTCACATCGACCAGAATCGCCATCGCAGTCGAGTCTATTTACATAATCGAAACGGACCTGGATTTTTATACGACCAATGAATATCAACTCGACAGCATTTGTCAAAAATATTTAGTCAACGTTTTTTGCCGTTACGATAACAATAACAATTAGAACGCTGAAGCCAGAAAGCTGAAGCTCATCTGTCTCGTTCGTAATTGCTCGAAAGGCCTGTTTTTTGATACATTCTTACATGACATCTCATGTATGAGAAAATGCGGTAGCTATCTATATATCGTATTAGGTCTATTCCGTAGTCTAGAGCAAAAGATCTAAGGCGAATCTGTTTGTGGAACCGCGAGGTTTTAGATTTACAATATGTGGAATTTAACATGATCCCTAAACTTTCAAAAGGTATGTGACATACCGACGAATATTCGAAAAGAACACGAAGGAAAATCCTTATATAAGTTATAAGGTGGAAGTTATGAACCCATGCGTATTTTCATTTTGTGCAGACATTTTTCCCCGTATAAGAGATTTTATACTGTTGGTATTCACAAAACGAGCTTTATGAAGTAGGTGTGGTTTATTTATGAATTCAAACCGAGAGTACTGTAAGTAACATCCTTATAATCCAATCATTTTCAGTTCTCTAAATGCATTGGAACATGTGTGAGGCCTTATTTTTCTGGCAAAATGTTGCGAGAGCATAAAAAATGTAAAGCGCAGATAAGAAAGTATGCTTGAACGGTGTTTTATATATGTCAATATATAAGTTAAATTTGACCCGGACTGACAAAAAAATACATTTTCACATATTTTAATACAATTCTTTAATATCGCTTTCAAACTAGTCTCCTTAGCAAATATAACGCATAAATCAATTTTCTATACTTTTGATATAAGCCTCGTTAGGGATGGCTTTCAGTGCCTTCCGCAAATTATAGGTTTTTCGGTTTTCGGCCCATTTTTGGAGATTCATTCGCTAGATTTTGGGATAGT